TGATCCGGTGCAGCGCTCGCGTTGAAACTTTTAATAAACACTGTGAGGGTGCAATCAGACTGAAGCGTAGGCACTCAAAATAAAAATGCGAGTTCAACTCCACTCTAGATGGAATTAGTATATGCAATCCGACAAGAGTGGCGAAGTTGGCAAGCACGCTTGTTTAAAACACGTTATTGCGAATGTGCTTCAACTTCTGATCGTATACACGCACTCGATCAACAACATTGTAAAATTCGCGTAACAAAAGTAGGTCATCAAAAATAGTAATTTGTAAAGATTTTAAAATTCATAGTTATAAAACTTGTGTACACTAAAAATCCAAATATTTTTTTGCACGTTTTGTTAAAATATATTTGTACTTAATTGGTGCACTCTTTACATATTTTGTACCCGTTCCAATAATTTTGTATAGCTAAAATACTAGCTTATTTAATGTGCATTCCTATTTTTTCACTATTTTGAACAACCTTGTGGCAATTAAAAGTTGCTGACAATTGAACCTTGTGACAGACAAAAAAAATTCTAAACTGATTTTTATTTTATATAAAACGTATAAGGCGTATAATTGATGATATACTAATTTATGACTTAATCTCTTGTTTCTTATCAATAAAACCTTATATTTATACTAAGTTACCTCCACCATAAAATAGTTTTGATAATTACTTGAGCCTAGTATGATTTGTCAGTTTTGTTAGCTCGCAGGCTTTGGCTACCATTGAACTCTTGAGCCGATTAAAAGCTTACCACTGCAGAGGTAGAGTGACCCTAACATGTGTAATTGTGAAGAACACAACAATCCAGCTTTTTTGGCAAAGCCGCTTTTCTGTTTTCAATTTCAACGTAAACTGTACTTAAGACTTGAAGATCCAAAAGTTGGGCTTTGTTTGTTTGAATGATCTATATTATATTACATTACAATTATCAAGATTTAATTTTTTTTTCAGCAAAGCAAGTAGTGAGCCGGTACAGTACAAAGGTAAACTGTACTGATAAATTTCAGTGGCAGTGACCAAGATCTGAACCCACGACCCGAAGTCCGTGACGCTACCGACTGACCCACCGACTCACCAAATTTAGGCCTATGTGCTTTTTAGGGATTGAACTTTCGTATAAGCTGTCCCCAGGTGTAATATACGTCTTGTTTAAGATGTTATTCATACGAGTATTACAATTTTCTCACCCTTTCTGTAAGAAATATGAAGACATCTGTTTTGTTCATTGGATTGGACTGTATTAAAATAATTGACAGGGTGCTTTCTTCGTCAGATACAGGTTTTGTTTCAGATTTGAAAGCGCAGTACATAAGATTTAAGTTTTGTTGTGATGGAATGTTTTAGTACATTTTTATCTTACATTGTTAATTATTGTTAGTTTAATCAATCTATTCTTGTAAATACTTTTAAGGATAACATAAAAGTTGTTTAAACTATTTGCTTTTTCATTTTTGTTATACACAACTAACAAATGTATCACTGACAATTTTCTCAATTCTATTTTGATTTCTTAGAAAATGTATTTCCTGGAAAGGAAATTAAAAATATCCCATTGCAATATAATTTTGTAAAACCTGCAACACAAAATAAGATTTTGGTTTGAAATATATTCGTCCTGTATACTATGAATAAAACAAACATATTGGAAAATGATATCCTCACTATTACTTACGTAATTGAAAACTGCAAGACTTTTTACAACAAATAAAACCCCCAACCACTTGACTTAATGGGCTGACCATTTATGGTACCATAACACCTGAGCCAATGCAATAAAAGTGACTTGGCGAAGGCTATTGTTTTGCTGTTACATTTTGCAGAGCATTGTCACTTTGTTAATCCATTACGTTGAGTCAAAACCGCAAAGAAACACCTGATTACAGGGTAGTAACAGCTGTTAACCAACACAAGCTATTAAATCAGCTGTTTTAATTGTTTGGTGTGATGTGATAGTCATTGATTTACGCCTCTAAATAATTTATGTAATTTTATATACACTTTATGTTGTATCATTATGGAAAGCATTAATGACAGATGAATTTAGTATTCCTAAATAGAGGAGAATAGAATTTTCACAGCTGGAATAATTTTCCACAATAAAAATTAAATCTTTAAATAGGCAATTTTTTACACATGGACGTAGAATGTACTAAATATGAGTTTTGTAATGTGTTTTACTATTACTTTTGTTCATATTAAATAATCACTAAGTTTGGTTACACTTATTTTATTGGACAATCTGAATTTAGTATAATATTGTTTTTGACCTCAAATATTCATGTTGATAAAAATTTTACTGTGTTCGGTAATATCAGTGACTGTTTGGAAACTTCATATAATATTAAATGTTCTGTATTAATTATGAGTTACGGAGCATGACCATAACAGTCATTTAAACCATGTAAACTGAACATCAACGACAATGGATTACAAATTAATTGTAGTAGTAAGAAATCTTAATGATAGATTATTATTTGACGTCAATTGAAATACGTAAAAGTAATAACAAAATGTCTGTGAATATTTAGTTTTAAGCAATTCCCCCTGTAGTTGGATACTGTAAAACCTCTGTATCCATATTACAGGGGAAAAGGCGACTTCATTTTTTCCCTCGATAAACAAAAACTCTATAAGATTTTTCTTCTGGGGCTTTTAAGGTTATGTCTTTAGAGGTCATGTTTCGTTTCCTAATCTTAAAAGTTGATAGAAAATATAGTAACATAAAAATATGTTATTCAAACACAAGTAGAAATTGTATGCAAAACACCCAAAACAGTATGGGCCTTTTTTGACGCCTTAAAACACCCTTAAACACAATTAACATATTTATATAGGTAAATCTACAAAGGAAAATATTAAAGATAGATTTAATATTACTCGGAGTGTATGACGCAATAATGGTGGCCAGGTGTGCTCCGCCATAACCGCCTTACCATCAACCGGACTGCAGAGCGTTTACAGCAATAGGGGGCTTCCTGCAGGGCTTGTAAAAACGTCTGTTTCAACCCTTTTTATTGCTTCTATAAAGATTTTATATTTTAATGCTACCAAACAACCCCCGTAAATGGAAAATTAGTGTTGCAACTAATAGCCCGATGTATGATTTCGGTTATATGATTTTTCAGTTTTTACGGTTTTAGATAACGGTTGGTGTATTTGGGTTGAAACGACTGTCGTTCACTTTTTGCACTAAAGTTTGGTGTATAAAAAATATGATTTCTGCTTAACAGTTTAATATATACACTATACCTATAACAAAGGTAATCTATTTTAGCGACCTATGTTGCCATCTGTACGTCCGACTTGGTCAGACATAGATTGCCTAAATGTATTAATACATATTGATTACATTTAATGCAATATGTATGAATACTACAGTGTTGTGTGGTACGATTAATGTTTTTATAAAGTGTGAACGAACTACACGTTGTGTAAAATGATTATCATTGAGTTAGTTTTTTTATATACGACATAAGCTTTTAAAAGTATCCATGAACTACAATGAACTAACCAGTTAAGTAATAAAATGCTTAATCTATGAAATTTAACGATTACATTCTTTTGGATAACCTCACACACTGTGGTGATAGTTTTTGGCTGGATCTGAATGAAGAGAGATAAAAAAATTGAGTTAGATAACTTCTTTGCCTTTGTTTTCTTGCTAGTTAATAGTAGCCATTTTTTTTTAGGAAGGACCATTTTAAGAAATTTTTTTAGCCATCCATAATAATTATAAACATCTTGGTTGTGGGTTGATTCTCAAAAACATACTAGATTTTCCCGGATCGAGCTTAGATTACAAGGCAAGTAATATTTATACTACGCACATATTTGTACCATAACATACTATATTTAAAGGTCACCGATTTGGTTATACAAAAATGAAGTCAAGTCGATTTGAACAAATGAAACGTAATGAGTTTTAGTAGGAGGCTCGTTTTAGCCAGCACGAAGCACTTCAAATCCGTGGTAGCGATGTCGTGGGTTAGCGTTCAAGTGATTAATTAATTTTATCAGTGCAATTTACGCTTGTATTCTACCTGATCACCCCTTAATTTACTGTATGCCACGCACAGGTCTGATACTTGTGGATGGTCAATAGCATGTTAAAATAGGGTAGAACCTCAAAGAAATTAACCACGCTATCCTAGAATATTACGCCTTAAGTTGTATTAACCACTAGTAATTTAGGGTAGTCAAAGCTATGTACACTGTACAGTATTGTAAAATCATGCTTGGCCTAGTATCTAAAGTATTGGAATAAACTGTATCAGCAATCTGACTCATACCTTCTCCCATTAGCATGTCAATAACCTTAATCATTGCTAAGTAGTGGGAGTATTAATGATACTTTATAGGGAACAACACAAAAGCTGTAATAACTTTTTAAACGTAATTTTTACAGCAATGAGGACTTGCACTGTTTTGTTTAGAAATATAACCTTAACATAATCATTTTAATCGAAAAAGGGTTTTTTTAATTCAATTTTCTGTTTTTTACGTTTTTGTTGGGGAAAACAATAGAAGTTGCAATAACATTGGAACCGTATCTTAAAAAGCAATAGATGTTATGCCATTTTCTTTCAGAATGTTGGCTTATAACATACTAAAGTTTTATCAAGCTCGTTTGGGCACTTAAAGATAAAATTCGATTTTTCCATTATTTTATGGGTTTGTATGAAACGATCACCATTAAAATAAAAATTAAAAAACAAATGGAAAAAAAACCTACAGATACCATGGATTAGTCCTACGTAGCAAATTCCACCAAAAACAGAAAACAGGAGGTGTGGCCTGTAGCTCTGTACACATCCACACACACGGACGGACATAACTTCGAAAATCACATTTTGGGGTTTTGGGGGGGGGGGGGGGGCAAAACGGATATATCCACTCAAACTCGAAAATTCTGACGAAAACAATACTCTCTCTATATACTATGGTTAGGGGAAGAAAGTAAAATGCATGTTTGATCGAAGGATCAATTGAGTTGAAACTGACCTCTCCGAGTACTCGCCCTCCGCGCGGGCGATGCCGGCCATCTCGCTGAACACATATATCCTGGATGACCCTCTATACCACTTGATGCTGTGGAGGTCACCACATGTCTCCGTGTTGACCGAACATGGCAGTTGTATCGTCTCTCCCACCAGACCTTTCATGTCACGCTGCTTTACGCCTGCAACAACAATAACAACATAAGTACTGCGGTACAACACATTCGCGATAGGTATATTGTTGTTGTGAACAACATTGCATCACAGCTGTCGAATACATGATGGAGAATAAGCACAAAATATACAATCATTAGCAACAATGTTTTGCCAACAAATATCTTGTGACTTACAATTTAAGACACGTCCAAAAATACACATTTGGGTGTATTTAGAAGCCTATTGAGTCTCGGACTCAGTGAGAAAGGACTAGTTCTATCTGCACTTCATTAAAAAGACTCCCAGACTCTTCAGACTCTCGGACATATTCTAATAAATAATTTTTGAATTACAAGACTAATTTTTGACCATTGATATAGCAATAGGCAAAAAAAAAAAATGCAAACATATATCATTTCAGACCCAGACCTTTCTATAATTTTCGCAAAGGCTCGTCATAAAATCATTGACAGACATATAACTCTAAAAAGCATTGGCAAAAATCTAAAATATTTTTGCTTCGGTTTGTTTGATACCTTCTTCATTTCCTTAAGAACTTTGAAAACAATCTGTGATGGTAAATACTTATCCGATTGCTGCTATAGTTTTGTTGCTGAAGCTTTGACTGTCCCTCATAGTGAAATGTTGTACTAGCTATTTCATAATCCCATCTCCAACCAAAAGCATACTTACTAGTGTATGGAGGTGAATGGAAATGGGACCCCTAAACTTGGTTATTTGTTTTAATTACGATAGTTCAAGCTTCAGTTTGACGAAGTTGTGTTTTTTAGCTACAGAATGTACTTATTTTCTCAATGAAACGAGAAAGTGGTTTGTGTTTCTCACCACTGTTAGTGTAGTTAATTTTAACATTCAAACTAAAAAAAAGTTTACTTTTAAGTTAAGCTATACTCGAAGACAAAATTATGTAAAAATTTTAGTTTAAATGACATTTCCTAAAAGAAGGAACTACGAAAATTTTTTTTTTTCAAAAGAAGAAAATATTTCCTTCCATAATATTAGTTAACTTTGATTGACACAGCTGTCAAAATGTTGTGTTTTGTAGATCGTAGTATTAGGTTTACAAAATCATAGGACTGCAGTTACATTTCCGACAGCCATAACTCCGAAATCATAACTCAAACGACCGCAACTCCGAGAGCCATAACTCCAGAGTAGTGTTTGCTATTAAATTTCCGACACAATTCTGACAATAACTACGGAAGTAGTCTTACCAACTTTATCCCGTAAAAACACAAGACAATTCTGCTTACGGGTACTTGCTTTCTACTATACTTCTTGCTTGGGTTCCATTTAAACGTCGAAAAAAAGTCTTAAGTACAATAAAACCTGCCGATTGGTGTGTTTAGTTTATATAGTTGAGGATTTATAGCTTTAAAGTTGGGGCTTTGAAAATATTGCATATGCAAAACATAAGACGGCCATCACAATAAAAGTATGTTTGAACAAGGATCATGTAAATATTGCCTTTAAAAGTCTATTTCCAGCAAAAAAGGATTTGTCTTGAGTTATTTTAACGAATGTAGCATCAAGGAAATGTCTAGTGTATGTTCACATGTTTCTTCCATTATGGAATTTGACAGATTTCAGGGTTGTAAGTACTATAAGGACTCCCGTTTGGTTTATAGCCGAATCCATCTCTTACATTTATATTACTGTACTTAGTTATAATTGTAATTCTGTAGGTGAAGACCACAACAAGACAGGTTGGTGAAGACCTAAACATCTTTCAATGTCCTTTAATGTAAGCGGTGTAAGTAATCCTTCTGACACTTACTGTATTTTAAAGCTGACTGTTAGTGTGTTTGTTTGGGGGATAATAACACATTAACTACTGGTCTCATTGGTCCCATTGAGATTTTTGAGATTTATACCTATTCATATCTCAAAACTTATTTTTGGACTCCGCCCTATTATCTTTGTAGTTTCACACGTTTATCTTATGAATATCCATATTTAGAAAATAATCTTCTAAGAACCTTTACAGCTGTGTAAATTAAACAAATAGGCAAGTTCAGTTTCATGACGTTCAATAGCATTAAAAAGTTACATGGTTTAACAACAGAATGCATCACAGTTATTTCTTTGCTTCTACCTGTTGCAAAGCACTAATAGAGTAAATAATCAAAGAAATAAAAGCGGTTTTTTTGGGATTATAACGACCACACCTAAAATGGTTACCCATAGGTTAGGTATGGTTTGATTAGGTTAGGATAGGTTAGGTTATCTTCTGGTTATATTATCCTAACCTAACCTAATCTATTCCCAACCTAACCTAATCTGTTCCCAACCTAACCTATGGGTAACAAGCTTAGGTGTGCTTAGGGTTTCCTAGGTGTGGTAACCTAACCAAAATTAGGTGTGGATGATATATTACTAAATTACCACAAAAACAAAAACCAAGTTATTTCACCTTTCCCACTTCATCCCTCGACCATTTAAGGTTTACCCACAAGACCTTCCCCAGGTGTGTCAAGAGAGAATAACGCGAACATTGCAACGTGCGGAGGGGAGTAAACTTAGGGGTGAGGTAATGTCACCCTCCATTTGTCTCGGACCTTTCGCCGCTTTCATCGGTTGAAATAACCACATCAGGGGAGGGACAGAGGTTGTTTGGGCCATTATTTATACATCACCCCGCACATTAGTAGCCAGCATACTTAAGTTGTATCAACACCCGCGAACGTGTACGTCTTCAATTGACATTGACGTTTAAATGCCTCTTTTGCGTTTGAAATTAATATTTCCCATAAAACATATCCTTTGTATTTGTTTTAATAGACTAAAAACGTGTACATTTGCACAGAAAAATTTTTTATGATAGTTTGCCAAGCAAAAAGACCTCGTTTGAGAAGTGTTAAGGGAATATTTTTAGTTATGAGTTAATAATCTGCCTACTATACAATGGATGCTTTGTATTTTTCCTTTTTTTTATTTAGATTCCTTTTCTTGTATTGTAATTTTAATAAATAAAGAATCAAAATATGTAATAAAATATTTGGTTGTTTTAATAATTGAAACGGTATGCTATATCTACCACATGCTATGCACATCTACCACAGCCATAATGTTCTACCACTAAACCTCAACCATAGAAAAAGAGTAAAGTTCTCAATATGTACTACAGCTGTTTGTTGCTATTTGGTTTACATTAGCTGTTGCCATAAATGCAAAAAATAATAATGCTGTTTTGTAGTTAATTGGAAATGTGAGCTATCATTATACCAAATTTAAACCCTGTCGGCTTAGTATTTTTCGCGTTTACTTGTCATAATTATCCATCCAACCATCCATTCATCCATACATCCAAACTTTCTCACTTTTAATATTAGTACGATAACAACTGCATGTGACTTTTCGTTACTTTATTTAGTTCGTAAATATGGCTTTTTGTCCCATTAGGGTATTTTTATCAATCATGTTCAACATTTAAGTCAACCCTCAATACTACGATGGTTTTTTAATAAATTCCCATTTTTTTATGAAATCACCGTACATACAGATAGATAGTGTGTGAAATATGTGTATGAATATTTTTAGGTATCAATAATTTAAACCAAACAATTAAACAAGATTCATAAGTTTTGTTCCCTACTTAATAATAGATTTATGGAAGAAAATACCAACATAAAAAAAATGGATGGTTACGTGATATTAGCTTACACGATGATTTTCCCTGTTAAAACTGATAGAGTTTGACTTTATGCGTGTAAACTAGCTGTTCTGAATTACATTCAGATTTAAATCGACCACTTAATTTCCACTTTAATTTTTTTAATACAATAGTTGTAAGATCCGATCTAGCTCTTAGATTATTCATGCTACATTTTGGTGTGTTCAGGATGTAATAACTGGCCCAATAAAAAAGACTAATGTTTTGTATACTAAACATTCGTTTACAAATGAATTAAAATAAAAAAAAAACGAGTCTACTACCACGCGAATAATTTACACCCTTGGTAACTTTTCAGACAACAGCGCTGTTGAGTTTGGTTCAGCAAAGCCTAACGACGTCATCAATGTCCTTTGCAACGAATACAAAGGTAGACTATGACGCCAAAACTACGGAACTACTGACCCTATAGGTAACAATGCTTTGTGCTGGGTAACCAAAGTGCTCTACAAACTCTCTATGTTGCACTCAAAAGCAAAAATAACTTGATGTTCGAATATTGTTTTATGGAAATAACCATGCAATATGACGAGGTATCATAGAGAAAAGTCAGATGAGTTATATGCCTCATTACTATTATATCACAAGATAATCTATGTATCCCACGTTTACAATTAAAACCCAGTTTTGTATTTGAATGTAAAAAGTAAAATAAAACCATCAAAAGGTAAGAACATCTATCTATATAAATAAAATTACATTTTTGTCTGTACATTGCTTAGAATCATGCAGTTTTTGGTTATTTTTACGTTTCATGGCCTAAGAAAGCCAGAACGAGTCTTATCTCAATTTCTGTCTGTATGTCTGTTTGTCTGTTTGTCCATTCTGTGATTCCGTCTGTAACGCCAAAATGTCATTTTCCGTGGCCTACTCCTTGAAAACTAGAGTACAGATCAAGATTCCAATTATTTTTCTTTATTCACAGGATTGGCGAAAGTGTCTTTGGCTATTAAAATATGGCCTAACTACTTTTGAAAAAATATAACGAACCATCAAAAACCTGTTTGTTAGATTTTTGTCAAGTTTTCTCCTAATGTTAGCATTAGGTTAAGGGTATTCTGTGATGAGCTTTATGAGGTTCGAAATAGTTTGGGTGCAGTAAAAACGTATGTATGTATTAAGTACTTTAAGGAACTGTTTACCATATTTGTGCCAATTTGATTTTGAAGTACGGATACTAGTACTGGTTACAAATTTAAAAATCCAACGTTTATTCGCATTTTCCACAACAATATCCCAACAATTACACCCATTCCATTCGAACACCTCAAGGTATCATTGTTCGGGTCGCATGTCGTGTCAACAGCGTCCCCTGAGACAATACTCCGGGAT